CAGTGTCTTCCACGTTTCTGTCACTTTCTTGGAAGACAACACAGGAGCAAAACGGATGAACTCAGGGAACACCGAGCGGTGACACCAAGTCTTCATGAAAAAAATCTCTGCCCCTGGCTTACACCTTCTGACCTCACCGTCCCCTCAATGGCACTAACTTCTTCCTTTCTCCACCAGCTCACCCTAGCATAAGCCCTTCAACAATTAGGAATTTCTAGCCAAAGCTTAGGAAGAGAACTGACCCCAGGCTATTTCTGCTTTGACCCTGCAGCTCAGCACTACAGCAGGGAAGGCAAAGGCCTTTTGAGAACTGACAATGGAGACACTCAAAGGAAACATGATGTGAATTCGTGTATTAACAAACTATATCCACCTGATAGTTTAAACATATGCCTACCAGTTGCAAATGAAAAATCATTGATGAAGGGGAAAGATTACCCAAATAATAAATGGGGGTTTTCACCGCATCATTACCAGAGCCAAGTCCGATGAATAAAGTGTTGTTCAAGATGGGTAATTCCGTTTGGGGTCCACAATGAGCTGTAACTCTCAAGTAATTAAATTGACATTATTAATGACTTGCAAGCTGCCTCTTAAATAAATTCCAAACCATGGAAACAATTACATAGCTAACAAAACTATTATGATCAACATCTCTTATTTGCAAATAAAATTGCTAGTGGTGTGTGACTTTATTTTTCAGTAGTTCCAATATGTCACAATTCATTATTTAACCAATCATTATTAAATCTTATAAGTCATAAACTATTCCAGGCACTAGGGATACCTCCAAAAAACAAGTTTGCTCACACAAGCTAACCAAAAATGTTAAAACGCTTGCCCTCATGGAGTTTACATTCCCATGACTGGAAATAAAGACAAACAAAACAAGTTCTATATCATGCTGCATGGTGATAAGTTCTATGAAAAAAAGGAGTTAAGAACAAGGAGCAAGTTCAGCAGGATGAGGACAAGCAATAGAGATTTAAATAGAATACAGACAGGGAGTCTCACCAAGGTGACAAGGAAACACAGACATCAAAGAGCTGAGGATGCCCTTTCTCTCTCTCTCTCACTGTCCACTCTGCCTGTCAAAAAATAAAAATAAAGAGCTGAGGATGCAAACTATGCAAGAAGCATATTTTAGGATGAGAATAGTAAGAGTGAGCACTTGCACACGTAGCGCAGACATAGACCAAGTGGTTGACGTCACGGGTGCAAGGGAAAGTGTAGCAGGAATGAGGCTGGAGAGGCAACAGTGGGGCAGGCCACAAGCCCACGTTGTGAGCATCTGGGCTTTTACTGTAGTGAGAGGAAAACAACTTCGAAGGGTCTAACCAGATCTGATTTGTGTTTTATAGGATCATTGTTGCTGCTGTGTTGAAAATAGACTCAAGTACGGGAGAGCAGAGTAGGGAGACCAACTACAAGTTTTGGACAATAATTTGGGAAAGGGACAAGAATTCCCTGGACGGATGCGCCAGGAGGAATGGTCATGGAAACTGGCCTACTGCAGGATAGCATGAGAAGGCACAGTCCATTAGAATCTGCTGCCAAACAGATGTGAAATGGAATAGAAAGAAGCCACAGATGGGCAATGGAAAAGCTGATGGGTCAGTGAGAGTCTGGAGAGAGTGCCTATCAAGCATACTTGTTAGAAGACAATTGGGACTCATTCCCAACAATAATAAACCTGCTATTAGAATGGTAGTGGTATAAAGATCAGGGTAAGATACAAACCGGAAATAAACCCCGCACTTCAATTCTGAGCCTAACCACGTGGAAGGCGGGCAGATTTCTGACTGAAGGCAGACACAGTCCTACCCTCATGTCAGACACAGGCCGTGAGGGCCAAAGCTTCAAATGTGACGTTTCCTAATACCTCCGCAGGCCTGACAGTTCTCAAACTTGTCTCACACAACACAGGGAAGCACTAGGCTTACAATTATAGTTCTACTATAAAGGATATAAACCAGGACCAGAAATATTAAGAGCTATGCAAGAGTAAAACAGGTTCACACCTCATTGCTTAACAACTTGTCTGAGTCCACCGAGACAGAGCAGGCACACACAAGAAGTTGCCCCTGCAGGTTTATTGCTTACAGATAGGCAGCAGGTGCAATCTTGTCTGAGCATGCCCCACTAGCACCGCATCTAAGCAGGCTTGAAGGGCAGCCACCTTTGGGTTTTAGAGCACAGGGCCAGGGGAATCACTGGTCTACGTGTTGAAGGACACCCTGCTTCTAGCAGTACTCGAATGGAGCTTGGTTATCCAAGCCAACCTCTCCCTGACTTAGGATGTTGCACTCTCAGCGCATTCTACAGTTGTTCTTGAGAACTACAAGAGAGATTTAAGGGGGAGGGAAACTGGGGCAATCGCCATCTCAGAAATTGAATGGTCATTGAAGACATTCTGGAGTGAGTTTAAAGTAAGGTGGAAGGGGCCAGCACTGTGGCATAGTGAGTGAAACCACCACCAGCAGTGCTGGAACCCCATATGGACACCTGTTCAAGTCCCACCTACTCCACCTGCTGTCCAGCTGTCTGCTACTGGTCTGAGGAAGTACTGTATGATGGCCCAAGTGGATGGACCCCTGGCACACACATGGGAGACCCAGATAAAGCTCCCGACTCCTGGCTTCAGCCTCGTTGTTGCGGCCATCTGGGGAGTGAACGAGCAGATTCAAGATTTCTCTTCTTTCTCTGTAACTCTGACTTAAAAAAAAAAAGAACAAAGTACTAATATCTGCTGTGACAAGCATAAAACTTAGAAATGGTAAGCTACTGGGGCTGGCACTGTGGCATAGCACATAAAGCCGTGGCCTGCAGTACCAGTATCCCATATGGGAGCTGGTTCTAGTCCTGGCTGCTCCACTTCCAATCCAGCTCTCTGCTGTGGCCTGGGAAAGCAGTAGAAGATTGCCCAAGTGCTTGGGCCCCTGTTGCCACATGGGAGACCCAGAGGAAGCTCCTGACTCCTGGCTTCAGATCAGCCCAGCTCCAGCCATTATGGCTAGTTGGGGAGTGAACCAGTGGATGGAAGACTTCTGCTCTCTCTGCCTCTCCAAATAAAACTCTGCCTTTCAAATAAATAAATAAATCTTAAAGAAGGAAGGAAGGAAGGAAGGGAGAAAGAAAGGAAAGAAAGAAAGAGAGGAAAGAAAGAAAGAGAAGAAAGAAAGAAAGAAAGAAAGAAAGAAAGAAAGAAAGAAAGAAAGAAAGAAAGAAAGAAAGAAGCTATGTGAAAGAAATAAGACAGAAGAAGGTCACATATTGTAAGATTACTTGAAGGAAGGAAGGAAGGAAGGAAGGAAGGAAGGAAGGAAGGAAGGAAGGAAGGAAGGAAGGAAAGAAAGAAAGAAAGAAAGAAGAAAGAAAGAAAGAAAGAAAGAAAGAAAGAAAGAAAGAAAGAAAGAAAGAAAGAAAGAAGCTATGTGAAAGAAATAAGACAGAAGAAGGTCACATATTGTAAGATTACTTGAAATATCTAGAACAGGTACATGCATACAGGCAAAACAAAGACCAGTGATTGTCATCAACTGGAGAAAAGAGGAAGGTAAGGAGTAACTTTAAGAAGATGGTTGGGGGGTGGCACTATGGCACAATGGGTTAACGCCCTGGCATCCCATATGGGCGCTGGTTCTAGTCCCGGCTGCTCCTCTTCCAATCCAGCTCTCTGCTGTGGCCTGGGAAAGCAGCAGAAGATGGCCCAAGTCCTTGGGTCCCTGCACCCGCGTGGGAGACCCGGAAGAAGCTCCTAGCTCCTGCCTTCAGATTGGCCCAGCTCCGGCAGTTGCGGCCAACTGGGGAGTGAACCAGTGGATGGAAGACCTCTGTGGCTGTCTCTACCTCTCTCTGTAACTCTGCCTTTCAAATAAATAAAATAAATCTTAAAAAAAAAGAGGGTTGGAAGTTTGCTTTGGGGCTGAAAAAAGTGTTCACGGAGCTAGAAAAAGGTGGTAGTTGTACAACGTTCTGAACATGCTAAATGCCACCAAGCTCCTTGCTTACTTTATGTTGACTTAATTTTATGCAAACATTGGCTCAAAAAAATACAAAAGAATGAATAGAATGATGCTATAGCGCATATGATGGAAAGGAAAACAAAACTAAAGCCAGAGGTGATATGGAGCCAAAGCATGATTTTTTTTTAACAGAAGTATGTTGTAAACTGATGGAAATGACCCCGTAGAGGGGAAATGGATGACAAAGAACAAAGAGAGATGGCAGAGTCATTCTGATTTCATTAAAATGCCAAAAGCAAAAAGCCTGCCTTTCAACGTTCACTTATATAGCACTAAACCAGATACAGCTGGTGCTTAATCCTAGCTCTGCCACTATCGTGCTCTGGGTCTTCGCAAAGTCTCCCAAATCCCCAGAAATGTAAAATTAAAGAACTGAGAGGAACCCTCAGCATCCCGCAGTCACAGGGCTCTGCGGACCTGGGATACTAGCTGATTTATTTTGAGGTCTAAGAATAACTTTATAAAGTCCACTCTCTCCACATTCGTATCATTGGATCTCCTCAAACTTCCTTTTAAAAAATTCAAAGCTATCCTGATTTATAGCAGATTAAATGAACGGAACACACAAGATGAGCAAAGGACTTCAGACACTCGATCACAGACATCTGGGAAGATTTACCACCAGGGGTTGGAAACATCTGGGTGGTGTTAGTCCTCCAGCTCTGGAAATCATGCATTCCTAAATCTGACATCAGTTTGGATGAGCAACTTGTATCCTGAAGCTGCAGATGCCTCGTTTTGGCAAGAAAACCTGATAAGCCCAGGCAAAGTCACGAAAGAAAATAAAACGGAATATTTGCAGCCTGTGCTGGCGGAATGCATTAACATAAGAGGCCATGGTCTAAACGAACATGCTGTGGTTTTGATTTATGGACTACAGGTATCTGATAGCCTAGCAACCCATCAAACTCAACGTGCCTGAACCAAAACCATGACATTTCCCATAATCCCATTCTAGGCCATTTGCTGGTCTCCACCATCGCTCCCATCAGAAGCCAGGTTCAAAGTTAAGGACTAGAGCTTCAAGCTCCAGTGACCCAAGATGGCAGCCACCACTGGTTCGGGAGTGAAAGTCCCTAACAATTTCCAGGTGTTGGAAGAACCCGAAGGCGGCCAGAGAGGAGCAGGAGATGGCACAGTTAGCTGAGATCTATAAGATGATCAAGACTTGACACTTAAAAGATGGACAGGGATGGTAACTGGGTTGCCAAGAGCAACTTACAGAAACTGACTATACGGACTTGATCGAGATCACGGACCGCAATCCAGCAGCACCCCGTTGTACGATTTGTAACAAAGCATCCTGTGAGTGGAGTTAATAGTTCTAGCAGGGTGGCAGACCCTAGAGTCCTATCAGTGCTAGCAAAACGGCACAACTCCTACAGCATCAACGCCGAGCTCCAAGAGCTGCAGCGCCGGATGATGTCTAAAGAGAACATGAAGCTCCCTCAGCCGCCCAAAGGACAGTGTTACGGCAACTCTACAGAGAGGACAGCCATAGAATCTGCCTACCTCACCAGCCAAAGGATCTGCCTACCTCACCCCACCCCCGCCAAAAAAAAAAAAAAAAAACCTAAGCAGTCACCATCTTCCACAGGAGTAAATCATCTAGGTTCATCCTGTAGGCCTCAAAGTACTAGAAAGGAAGCTCCCATTCAAATTTATCAGGTCAGCACTTTGGCACAGCGGGTTAACACCCTGGCCTGAAGTGCTGGCATCCCATATGGGCACCGGTTCAAGACTTGGCTACTCAATTTCTGATCCAGCTGGTAAGCAGAAGATGGCCCAAGTCCTTGGGCCCTTGCACCTGCGTGGGAGACCTGGAGGAAGCTCCTGGCTCCTGGCTTCAGATCGGCACAGCTCTGGCCATTGTGGCTAACTGGGGAGTGAACCATCGCATGGAGGACCTCTCTCTCTCTGCCTCTCCTCTCTCTGTGTAACTCTTTCAACTAAATAAATATTTTTTAAAAAAGGCAATTTATCTAAAGATATCACAAATGATACTCATTTTTGGTCCACCTGAAATACGTAAATTGTGTTATAATATCATCCTGTCAAGGGTAACCACCGTCCATGCAGTTGAACTTCCAGGATCAAGAAAGCATATGAAAATTGAATCCCATCAGCACTGGTGGCACACAGCCAACTCAGCCATGAAAATCCACACCACACACCGCCTTGCTGCTGGCTACCTGGCCTGGGTCTCTGCCTTTTTCCTGCCTGCCCCTGCACCTGCCTCCATCCCCCAGCAGCCTCCAGGTCGGGGTAGAGCCGAAGGTTCCAGATGGCAGCTCACGGGACTACTGTCAGGTGTGGGGGTGCTTTGCACCCCGGTTTCTTGAGTCTTAAATAATGCCCCCTCCAGGCCATCAGCCCATTCCCCCTCCTCCACGCCTACCCTTGGCCGAAGCACAGACTGTACCCCTTCTGCTCCCCTTTGAAACTGGTCTTTGGTGGCCCATCCCCAGGGTTGGCGGGCTGCGTTCCCAGCTCTCTCTTCTGTGTTCCCACTTTCCATGCAGGACCACCAATGCTGAATTGTGTACACACATGTATGCACAGGTGTATATGGTGTCCTCAAGCTCTATTTTCATTTATTTTTTAGTATTTGTGTAAAAAAAAAACTGCCTTTTGAAGCAGCAACTATCAAAGCGAAGGAGCAGGTGTTTCCATTTGTCTTTCAGGGGAAAACCTTAGCTCTGAGTTGGTCAGATCCTGTCAGTGAAGTCTAACCTCAGAGTATTCCAAATGCAGCCTTTTTATTGTCAGACCATTGCCTGACTTTAACATAATAAAGTGTGCACCAACATTTTTTTTTACAAAAAGAAAAGCTAAGGGTCTTCTCTGAGGCTCTCTTCCTCTGCACACTCAGTGAGGCTATAGATTTCCGTCCCATCTTTCTCCTCGCTGCCTTCCCACAGGGATGGTTTTGTTCCTTGTTTTCTGTTTTACCTGCAAATCATACTGCTCCCCACATTTCCCGACAGCGGGGCATTTGGTTGTACCTGACTGTTATCCCCTAGGAAATCCCACCTGGGTAACCCATGCTTCTGGAACATTCTGCATTTCTGAAGACATTTCTAGAGGTACTGAGGCAACATCAATGCTGTCACACAATTCAATCAGCAATATTCTCTTTGGACAACCGTGTGCTCAGTCGCTCAAGTTGTCATAGAAAGAAAGGAAATGTTAGGCTTCTTGAAAACCATGTTAGATATAATACTTCCGTGTGATTTGTGTTTTGTCATTTATAATGCTTAGTAAATTAGCTGGAAAAAAAAATACCCATTCTGGATAAAATGCTACGATTTCATAAATACTCATTATCTATTTGTAACAAAAGATATTGTTAATGTCACCTTCGTCACACAACTTTCGAAGTTCTTCATTGCTCCAATGCTGTGGCTTTCACTGAAGTGCAAAGCTCATGGCATTGGGGGTGGCCAAGAATGGAAGACAGGACCCCAGTTCATTCCCAGACTGGAATTCCTGGCTATCTCCTCCAGCAGGATTAAATTACCCATTGCTTTCTTTTCACTGTCATTATCCAGAAAGCCAGGAAGACAAAATCTAAGAGCGATGTTTGTCAAGGGCTTTTGTTTCCAATAGAATGTGGTAAATGATAAAATATCCCCAAGAATTACTGACCGTGTCAAGGTTGCTGACGGCTAACATGACAGGCAGCATCATGGAGGGTCATTTGGCAGTGTTTCTTGTTTTTTTTTTCCTTCGTTTGAAATCGTGGTGATAAGATAGATAAGCTCATTTAAGGATGGTGACATGTGGTATCCGTTAACAAATGCCGGGTCGTTTTTAAAACACTGGGAGCAGCACAGAGCCACCGACATAATGTTCTTAGCTCCTGAAGCCTAATATCTCTTCTACTGTGTAGATTTCCATCAATTGGTTCTATTAAGTAAATTACATCTGACCTTTACATCCCAGTAAAGCTCAATGTAATTTAAGAGTTTATGAGTAGGGGAGCAGAGGAGAAAAGTCCACTGTGCAAAGCTGACTTTGTGAAAGAGTGACACAGAAGGCTTCGACTTCTTGTACTTCCGGTCAGTTCCGTTACAGCCGCCCAGGATGAAGAGTTCTATTCTTTCTTAATTTCCTGGGTTTTCTCTTTAAAGTAAATCTCAGAATTGGAGCCTCATTCCTTTTTTATTTTTTATTTATTTATTTTTTTGGGTTGAAGTTTTCCTTCGGGAAACACTTGTTTTTCCAATCAGTTTTATTGACAGCAGCACACAGGTTGGCCAAGGCTCCAGGGCACAAGTATTTGCACACGCTGTGGTACAGCAGGCAGTTCCAGCTGTCACATGACTTCTTCATGAACTTTGGTCCAGTTCTTCCAAGAATTTACCTGAAAATAAGAGATGTGCACATCTCACCAACACTTACTGTTTGGTAACAGCCATTCCAGCAGGTGTGAGGTGATTGATATGTCTTCGGGGTTTTGAGCTGCATTTCCTGGTCACTGGAGATGTTGAGCATTTCATCAACCTGTTGGCCATGTCTGCCCACTTCTCAGAAACGTCTATGCAGATCTGGTGCAATTTCCTAACCAGGCTTGTTTTCTTAATATATAGGATTATGTCACCTGCAAACTGAGGCAATTTTAATTCACCCAGTTTGAATGGCTTTTATTTCTTCTACTTGACTAACTACTCTGGATAGGACCCCTACTACTGTATGAAACAGAAGAGTACAAAGCAGAAACCCTTGTCTAACCCCTGGTGTTAAAAGCAAAGCTTCGGGGCCGGCACCGCAGCTCACTAGGCTAATCCTCCACCTGCATCCCAGGTTCTAGTGCCGGTCGGGGCACCGGATTCTGTCCCAGTTGCTCCTCCTCCAGTCCAGCTCTCTGCTGTGGCCAGGGAGTGCAGTGGAGGATGGCCCAGGTCCTTGGGCCCTGCACATGGGAGACCAGGAGAAGCATCTGGCTCCTGGCTTCGGATCAGCGTGGTGCGCCGGCCGCAGCGGCCATTGAGGGGTGAAGCAACGGCAAAGGAAGACCTTTCTCCCTCTCTTCCACTGTCCACTCTGTCAAAAAAACAAAAGCAAAGCTTCCTACTTTTCAATGTTGATAGCGATATAATCAGTAGGCTTGTCCTATATCGCCTCTATTACGTTGAGGTAGATTTCTTTGAGTATTCATCTACTCAAAGTGTTTTTCATAAAACAATGCTGCATTTTCATCAAAACCTTTTTTGTATCCATTGAGATGATCATGTGATTTTTATCCTTCATTCTACTAACGGGTAAATCACTTGCTGATTTGTAAATGATGTGTCATCCTTGCATGGGAGGAAGTGCCTTGGCTGTCCCAATCCTCATCCCTCCCCCACCAGGGACTTTTCACTGATGGCAGTTATTGTTAAGTCTTGCAAACTCCTTATTCATTGCTGGTCCATTCAGATTCTCTACTTTTGCCTGACTAAATCATCGCTGGCTCTGTGTTACTAGAAACTGATCGATTTCTTCTGGGTTATCCAGTTTTTTGGTGTCTCATTTTTCATACTGATCTTTTATGATCACCTCTCTCTCTGTAGTATCAGCATTAATGTCTTTCCCATGTATTTTTCACCTCTCCCTCCTCATTCTCTCCTTCTCCCCCTCACTTTTGAGTCTAGCCCAAGGGAGGTCATTTTTTTTTTTTTAAAGCAACTCAATTTCATTGACTTCTAGTATTCCACTAGTTTCTCTTTCATCTATTTCTGTTCAAATCTTTATTACATTCTTCAGACTTTTTTCTAGTCACTTGAATTTTAAGTTACATTTATTGGAAACCTTTACTATTGCTCACTTCAGGCATGCAGCACTACAAATTTCTCTCCTGGTACAGTTTGTGATGCACTCTGTAACTTCTGGTATGCTTTAATTCCATTTGCACGTCTCAAGGTATTTTTTAACTGCTCTATTTCTCCTTTGACTTATGGGTTGTCCAGCATTGTACTATTTAATTTTCAAGTATTTTTTTACTTTTCCAACTTAACTGCAATTCTCCTTAGGTATCACTGTTGTCAGAAAAGATATCTAAGGTAATCTATGTCCCCTGGTATTTGCTGAGACTTGCTTTGTAGCCTGTCATGGAGAATGTTCCATGTGTCTTTTTTTTTAAGACTTATTTTATTTCATTGAAAGACAGAGTTACAGAGAGAGGTAGAGACAGACAGAGAGGTTTTACATCCACTGGTTCACTCCCCAGATGGCCGCAACTGCTGGAGCTGTGATGATCCAAAGCCAGGAGCAAGGAGCTTCTTCCAGTCTCCCGCAATGGTGCAGGGGCCCAAAGACTTGGGCCATCTTCTACTGCTTTCCCAGGACATAGGAGAGAGCTGGATCAGAAGAGGAGCAGCCAGGACTAGAACTGGTGAACATATGAGATGCCGGCGCTTCAGGCCAGGGCTTTTAACCTGCTGAGCATAGCGCCAGCCCCCCCAGGTATCTTTAAAATATATGTTCTGTTGCTATTAGATAAAATGTTTTATAAATGTCTGTTGCATCCATCCGGTCTACAGTGTTGTTCAAGTCCATGTATCCTTACTGATTTTTTTGTCTGGAGTATCTAACCATTGTTAATTATATGAGATTGAAATACCCTATTATAGCATTGCTGTCTAGTTCCTTGTTCAATTTTGGTGATATTTCCTTTAGATGTTTTGGGAACTCCATTGTCAAGCACACAAAATTTACAATTCTTATGTTCTATTGACAAATTGATCCCTTTGCCATTATACAATAACCTTCTTTTTCTAGTATGACAGAATTGACTTAAATTCCATTTTGTCTGAGACTAAGTATAGCCACCCCTGCCTTATTTTGGTTTCCTTTAACACTAACTATCTTTTTCTTCTGATTTCACTGTTAGGGGCTTTCAAAGACAAGCAAAACCTATCTCTGTTTAATTTCCCAGACAGCCTGGTTAGTATAGTACCCTTGGTTAGCAGGGCTCTTCCTTCCAGCAGTTTGAGCATACTTAGATCGCCCCAATCGCTTTCACTCTGCAGTGTTTTTGATGAGAAATCTGCCATAGTTACATGAAGGCTTGGGGTTTTCCTTGTGTGTAATACATTGCTTTTGTCTGGTTGCTTTCAAAATTCAACATTTTTAACTTCTGAGACTGTGATTATAGAGTGTTTCAGTGAGTATCTCTATATTTAATTCATTTAAAGTTTTTTGAGTTTTAAGGATCAAAGTGCTCAATTCCCTCACCTGATTTGGGGAATTTTCAGGCAATATTTCTATAAATAGGCTTTTATCACTTTCTCTGCTCCTTCTTAGACGTCTGTGATATGCATATGGATCACTTGATGGTGATTCTTAAGTTCTGCAAGCTTTCTTCTCTTCTTCATTCATTTTCCTTTCTATTTCTCTGACTCAGGAAATCTCAGATGCTCCGAGTTCGCAGTTGGAGCCAAGTCTACTGCTGTAGCTCTCATTGGTATTTTCCATTTCAGTCATTGTGTTCTTCAGCTCCAGAATTTCTATTTGTTTCTTCTTAAAAGTTTTTAATTCTAAGTTGAATGTCTCATTTGTTTATATATAGTTTTCCTGATTTCATTTACTTATCTGTTTTTTTTTTAGCTCAGAGAGCTTCAACATAAATTTTAATCAATATGTATTTATATTTTTGTATTTACAAAAAAAATCAAATAATTCCAAAAAACATCATTCCCACTTTTTGTGCTTCTGGTATTGCTCCACGAGTCCAGAAAATAGGCATGGAATTCTTTTGGTATCCAGCCCCAAAGATGACCTCCGATGGGTCTCATTTCTTGATAATCACTTTCTTGGGAAGTCTGCTTATGGAAAGAATCTGAATTCTGTGACCAACAGGATAGTGCAAAAATGCTGGTGTGATTTCTGTGACTAAGCAGCAACTGGTTTCTTGGATTACTCACTGGGAAGGAAGCTGTTCTTGTGTCACCAGTACACTAAAATAGCTGCGTATAGAAAAATGAAGCTTCCTACCATCCACTAGGATTGTAAACCATCTTGGGAGTGAATTTTACGACCTAATAAAGGCTTGAGACTACTGCAACATCAACAGAAACTGTGCTTGAACTCCCCCAAACAAGCCATAGCACATTCCTGCTATAAAAACATTAAATGATTTTACTGTTAGAAAACATTAAATGATTTTACTGTTAGACTGACATAATTTGCTATACAGCAGTAAATAACTATTTCTATGTATTAATTCATTAGTCTTGAACATTTTCTCATATGCCCTGCTATGAAAAATCAGAGTTAGCTCATCTTAACAACATCTGCATTTTCAGTCCTCCCCCTCATTTTCCCACCTTGTGACATCTGTGCCATTGGGGCAAGGAGATTCTAGCTTACAGAATTGAGAATTTAAAATATATGTATAAGTACATGTATACATATATAATTTAAATATATTTATACTTAATATGTATTTAATATACAACATGGTTGTGACTGAACAATTTTCCACATCTGGCTAGTTTGGATTTGTTGTTTTTGTGTGATGTCTACTGGTTCACTTGATGATGTCTCATAAGTTCCACACATTTCTTCCCTCTGTCACTCATTTTTCTTTCTATTCCTCAGCTTGTCTAGCTGGTATTCTGGCTTTCCTGTTTCCCTTGTACTCTCAGGTTAATTCCACCGTTTCATTTACTCATGTCTTCCTGTGAATAGTTTTTTGCCCCACATTTCTGTATACCTTACTGATGAGGATCTTCTTCATCCTGACTGTGTAGAAACAAAGCTTTTTATGGCCTTTCTGAAATATCTTCATTATACCTTTGCACTAAATCAAAATAGTCATTAGATAATTACAGCTTCAAAAAACCTCTTCCCTAAGAATTTTGAACATATTGTCTTATATACCCTCTGTGTATACACACCCTCAGGAGATATTTTTATTAGTTTGCTTCATATCAAACTTTATAGGATACTTCATTTCTCTGCTAAGTATCAGAATTTAGCATTTTCTTTGCTTTATTTGAGTTTCATGGAACAGTCTCTAAGTCATTTGTCCTATGTATGTGAGCACAAACAGGATGAAAGGACCACAGCCAAGGGAATTATTTAAGACATTATTTTCAGAGCAGTTTGAGATTCACAGCAAAACTGAATGGAAGGTTCAAAAATTTCCCACATGCTACCAGCCTCGACATGTGTGTGGCCTCCAGGGATTGTTTTATTTTCTCCTTATCTATGAAGAAGGGCCACAGTCCAGGCCAATACTTATAGAAAGCAAAATTTTATTCAATTAAAATTAAAATACTAACAGTAGTTGTTTCTCATTAGTGACATGTGAACACCATGATTCATTCTGTAATTTATGTCTGTCTGTCTACAAGAAATATACATTACTTCTATGATTATACAGAAACTGTTATCAAAATTTTTCCTTCAGTCTGGTTTTTATATTAC